CACGGACACGCAGACCCACCGACCGCCCACCCACGGACACACGGACACACTGACCATCCAGCCACGGACACACAGACACACTGACCAACACACTGACCAGCCACCCACGGACACACGGACATGCAGACACACTGACCGGCCACCCACGGGCACACGGACACACTGACCAACACACTGACCATCCATGCACGGACACACGGACACACTGACCAACACACTGACCAGCCACCCACGGACACACGGACATGCAGACACACTGACCAGCCACGCACGGACACACGGACATGCGGACACACTGACCAATACACTGACCAGCCACCCACGGACACACGGGCACACTGACCATCCAGCCACGGACACACGAACACAGTGACCGGCCACCCACGGACACACTGACCAGCCATGCACGGACACACGGACATGCGGACACACTGACCAATACACTGACCAGCCACCCACGGACACATGGACACACGGACAGTCGCACACACCCCACGGTCCCCAGGCCCCCACGGCCCACGCGTGACCCCACACGGGGATGCTCAGGGTGGGGATGAGGAGGGGTCGCATCCCCAGGACCCCCGTGCGTGGGTGGGGGCTGCCGTGACCCCGGGGCCTTGGCGGGACCCCCCGGGACCCTCCCGGTAACGGTGTAGCCCCAGGGACTCCCCGGTGCCTGCGGGGGGGGGACCCTGCCCGGACCCTCCGGGACCCCCCTTGGAGGTTCCAGTGCCGAGGGGACCCCGCCGAGACCCCCGGTGTCCCCGCTGGGACCCCAAGTGACGGTGCCGGTGCCTGGACATCACCACCGGGACCCTCCGATGACCCCGCCGGGACCCCCAGAGCAGGTGCCAATGCCTTGACATCACCACCGGGACCCCCAGCGCCGGTGCCGGTGCCCGGGAGACCCTTTCCGAGCCCCCGGTGCCCCCGCCGGGACCCCCAGAGCAGGTGCCAATGCCTTGACATCACCACCGGGACCCCCAGCGCCGGTGCCGGTGCCCGGGAGACCCCGCCGAGACCACCGGTGCCCCCGCCGGGACCCCCAGCATCGGTGTCGGTGCCCGGGAGACCCTTTCCGAGCCCCCGGTGCCCCCGCCGAGACCCCCATTGCCGGTCCCCATGCCCGCACACCCCCCTATCCCCCCAGGTGCCCCCACCGGGGCCCCCATTGCGGTGCCGGTGCCCGCGGGCGGGGTCCTCCAGCCCCCCCCCCCGTGCCCGGTAACGTGACCCGGTGCCGGCCGGCTCCTTTTCCACCCCATTAACCCCCGGCCCGCCCCCGGCGGCTCCTCCCCGCCCCGGGCCCCCCCGGTTCCGCGGGGGGGGGGGGCCCGTCCCGCCGCCGCGGCCCCGCCGAGCCATAAAACCCATGGGGAGCCGGCCCGGCTGAGCACGGCGGGACCCGCGACCCCCCCCAGCAAGGTAAGGGCGGCCGGGGGGGTCCCCGGGGGTCCCCCGTCCCCTCCCGGGGGGTCCCGAGGGCAGCGGGCACCGGCCGGTGGCGCTGGGATGGCACCGGCACTGCAGAGAGGAGCCCCGTGACCCCTTGTCCCCCCCATGGTGCCACCACAGCCTCGATGTCCCCACATCCCCGTGTCACCATCACCCGTGACTCCGTGAGGCCACGTCCCCGTGTCCCTGTGTCCACCCGTCGCTGGGTCCCCAAATGGCCGTGTCCCCAAGTCCCTCATGCCCACGTCCCCAAATCCTTGTGTCCCACATTCCTACGTCCTCGTTTCTGTGCATCCCCGTGTCCCCATGTCCCCATGTCACGTACTGCCATGTCCCTGTGTCCCTGTATCCCCATATTCCCCTATCCCAGTGTCCCCATGTCACATACTGCCATGTCCCTGTGCCCCTGTATCCCCATATTCCCAGGTCCCCATGTCCCCATGTCTCCATGTCACGTACTGCCATGTCCCTATGTCCCTGTATCCCCATATTCCCATATCCCAGTGTCCCCATGTCCCCACACCCCCATATTCCCATGTCCCCATGTCCCCACACCCCCATATTCCCATGTCCCCACACCCCCATGTCCTCATGTCACGTACCACCATGTCCCTGAGGCCCTGTATCCCCATGGCCCCCTGTCCCTGTGTCCCTGGGATATGGGATATGGATTCCCACACATCCCAGTGTCCCCACAGTCCCACGTCCCCAAGTCCCTGTGCCCCACAGCGATGTGTCCCCATTCCCCTGCGTCCCCGTGTCCCCACACCCTCAGATCCTGTGTCCCTCTCCCATGTCCCCAACAAGCTGTGCCCCACGTCCCCATGTCACATATCCCCATGTCCTCTGTCCCCTTGGCCCTTGTCTCTATATCCCATGTCCCCGTGTCCCTGTGTCCCCATGTCCCCATATCCCCCATCCCCATGTCCCTGATTCCCTGTGTCCCCCACCTCTCTATCCCCATGTCCCCGTGTCCCCTGTGCCCCATGTCCCCATGTCACAGGCCCCAGGTCCTACGTCCCCAAGGCCCCTGTCCCTTTATCCTCATGTCCCAGGTGTGGGTTATCCTGGAATGTTGGTTATCCCAGCCGTGGGTTATCCTGGAATTTGGGTTATCACAGGATGTTGGTTATCCCAGGTGTGGGTTATCCCAACTGTGGGTTATCCCAGGCATGAGTTATCCCAGAATTTGAATTATCCTAGGTGTGGGTTATGCCAGGTGTGGGTTATCCCAGAATTTGAATTATCCCAGGTGTGGGTTATCCCAGGTGTGGGTTATCCCAACTGTGGGTTATCCCAGCTGTGGGTTATCCTGGAATTTGGGTTATCCCAGGATGTTGGTTATCCCAGGATGCAGGTTATCCCAGGTGTGAGTTATCCCAGAATTTGGGTTATCCCAGAGTTTGAGTTATCCCAGAATTTTGGTTATCCCCTGTGTAGGTTATTCCAAGTGTCCCAGGTGTGGATTATCCCAAAATTTGAGTTATCTCAGGTGTGGTTATCCTGGGATGTGGGTTATTCCAAGTGAGGTTTATCCTGGGATGTGGGTTATCCCGGGATGTAGGTTATCCCAGGTGTGGGTTATCCCAGGTGTGGGTTATCCCAAGTGTGGGTTATCCCATGCATGGGTTATTCCAGCTGTGGGTTATCCTGGAATTTGTGTTGTCCTGGATGTAGACTATCCCAGGTGTGGGTTTTCCCAGGTGTGGGTTATCCCGGGTGTGGGTTATCCCAGGTATGGGTTATCCCAGGTGTGGGTTTTCCCAGGTGTGGGTTATTCCGGGTGTGGGTTATCCCAGGTGTGGATTATCCCAGGAGTGGGTTATCCCAGGTGTGGGTTATCCCGGGTGTGAGTTATCCCAGGTATGGGTTATCCCGGGTGTGGGTTATCCCAGGTATGGGTTATCCCGGGTGTGGGTTATCCCAGGTGTGGATTACCTCAAATGTGAATTATCCCAAATGTGGGTTATCCCGGGTGTGCGTTATCCTGGGTGTGGGTTATCCCGGGTGTGCGTTATCCCGGGTGTGCATTATCCCGGGTGTGAATTATCCTGGATGTGCCCTAAGGCTCCATTTTGGGGTCCCCCGATGCTGTGAGGGAGATCCTGGGACCCCCATCCTGGCCTTGGTCATGCTGGGGGCACCACCAGGACCCCCGTGGTCACCGTGGGGAGGGGGGACATCCCCCAGGACCCCCAGTGGGGACATGGAGGGGACGGGGGTCCCCCAGGACACACAGTGGGGCCGGAGTGGGGGCCTGGGACCCTCATGGTGGCACTGACAGCGGCAGGGGACCCTGGGACAGTGACAGTGACAGGGACCTCTGTGACCCACACTGGGGTGGGTGATGGGGGTCCCTGTGCCCCCGTGGGGGCCATGGCAGTGTCAGGGGAGCCCTGTGGTGACAGTGACAGTGATGATGGGGGTCCCTGTGCCCCCTCGGTGGCAGTGGGGGTCCCTGTGCCCCCCTTGGTGACAGTGCCATTAACCATGGGGGTCCCTGTGCCCCTTCAGTGGCATTGACAGTGACAGTGGGGGTGTCCCTGTGTCCCCTCGGTGGCAGTGGGGGTCCCTGTGTCCCCCTTGGTGACAGTGCCATTAATGATGGGGGTCCCTGTGTCCCCTCGGCAGCATTGACAGTGACAGTGGGGGGGTCCCTGTGTCCCCTCGGTGGCACTGGGGGGGTCCCTGTGTCCCCTCGGCGGCACTGACAGTGACAGTGGGTGGTCCCTGTGTCCCCTCGGGTGGCACTGACAGTGACAGGGGGGGGTCCCTGTGTCCCCTCGGCAGCACTGACAGTGACAGTGGGTGGTCCCTGTGTCCCCTCGGGTGGCACTGACAGTGACAGGGGGGGGTCCCTGTGTCCCCTCGGCGGCACTGACAGTGACAGTGGGTGGTCCCTGTGTCCCCTCGGGTGGCACTGACAGTGACAGGGGGGGGTCCCTGTGTCCCCTCGGCGGCACTGACAGTGACAGTGGGTGGTCCCTGTGTCCCCTCGGGTGGCACTGACAGTGACAGGGGGGGGTCCCTGTGTCCCCTCGGCGGCACTGACAGTGACAGTGGGTGGTCCCTGTGTCCCCTCGGGTGGCACTGACAGTGACAGGGGGGGGTCCCTGTGTCCCCTCGGCAGCACTGACAGTGACAGTGGGTGGTCCCTGTGTCCCCTCGGGTGGCACTGACAGTGACAGGGGGGGGTCCCTGTGTCCCCTCGGCAGCACTGACAGTGACAGTGGGTGGTCCCTGTGTCCCCTCGGGTGGCACTGACAGTGACAGGGGGGGGTCCCTGTGTCCCCTCGGCAGCACTGGGTTATCCCAGGTGTGGGTTATCCCAGGTGTGGGTTATCCCAAGTGTGGGTTATCCCATGCATGGGTTATTCCAGCTGTGGGTTATCCTGGAATTTGTGTTGTCCTGGATGTAGACTATCCCAGGTGTGGGTTTTCCCAGGTGTGGGTTATCCCGGGTGTGGGTTATCCCAGGTATGGGTTATCCCAGGTGTGGGTTTTCCCAGGTGTGGGTTATCCCGGGTGTGGGTTATCCCAGGTATGGGTTATCCCAGGTGTGGGTTTTCCCAGGTGTGGGTTATCCCGGGTGTGAGTTATCCCAGGTATGGGTTATCCCGGGTGTGGGTTATCCCAGGTGTGGATTATCCCAGGAGTGGGTTATCCCAGGTGTGGGTTATCCCGGGTGTGGGTTATCCCAGGTATGGGTTATCCCGGGTGTGGGTTATCCCAGGTGTGGATTACCTCAAATGTGAATTATCCCAAATGTGGGTTATCCCGGGTGTGCGTTATCCTGGGTGTGGGTTATCCCGGGTGTGCGTTATCCCGGGTGTGCATTATCCCGGGTGTGAATTATCCTGGATGTGCCCTAAGGCTCCATTTTGGGGTCCCCCGATGCTGTGAGGGAGATCCTGGGACCCCCATCCTGGCCTTGGTCATGCTGGGGGCACCACCAGGACCCCCGTGGTCACCGTGGGGAGGGGGGACATCCCCCAGGACCCCCAGTGGGGACATGGAGGGGACGGGGGTCCCCCAGGACACACAGTGGGGCCGGAGTGGGGGCCTGGGACCCTCATGGTGGCACTGACAGCGGCAGGGGACCCTGGGACAGTGACAGTGACAGGGACCTCTGTGACCCACACTGGGGTGGGTGATGGGGGTCCCTGTGCCCCCGTGGGGGCCATGGCAGTGTCAGGGGAGCCCTGTGGTGACAGTGACAGTGATGATGGGGGTCCCTGTGCCCCCTCGGTGGCAGTGGGGGTCCCTGTGCCCCCCTTGGTGACAGTGCCATTAACCATGGGGGTCCCTGTGCCCCTTCAGTGGCATTGACAGTGACAGTGGGGGTGTCCCTGTGTCCCCTCGGTGGCAGTGGGGGTCCCTGTGTCCCCCTTGGTGACAGTGCCATTAATGATGGGGGTCCCTGTGTCCCCTCGGCAGCATTGACAGTGACAGTGGGGGGGTCCCTGTGTCCCCTCGGTGGCAGTGGGGGTCCCTGTGTCCCCCTTGGTGACAGTGCCATTAATGATGGGGGTCCCTGTGTCCCCTCGGCAGCACTGACAGTGACAGTGGGTGGTCCCTGTGTCCCCTCGGGTGGCACTGACAGTGACAGGGGGGGGTCCCTGTGTCCCCTCGGCAGCACTGACAGTGACAGTGGGTGGTCCCTGTGTCCCTTCCGTGGCAGTGGGGGGGTCCCTGTGTCCCCTCGGCGGCAGTGGGGGTCCCTGTGTCCCCTCGGCGGCACTGACAGTGACAGTGGGGGGGTCCCTGTGTCCCCTCGGCGGCACTGACAGTGACAGTGGGGGGGTCCCTGTGTCCCCTCGGCCGCCCTGGCGGTGTCGCGGGCCCCCCGGGACCCCCGCGCTGGCGGTGGCGGGCGCGCGGGGCTCTGCATCTTAACGAGGGCTCCGTCAAAGCGCCTTTGTCCCCCCGCCAGCCCCATTGAAACCTCGGCTCCGGCCGCACAATGGCCCCACTGTCCCTGTCCCCGTCCCTGTCCCCCCCCCCGTGGGGGGGGAGAAAGGGGAGGGTTCAGGAGCCTAAAGAAGGGGGGCAGGGCCCCAAAGAGGGGAGCAGGGGTGTGCAGAGACCCCCAAAGTAGGGGGTGAGGACACGGTGGCTTTGGGGACACGGTGGCTTTGGGGACACAGTGGCTTTGGGGACACGGCAACTTTGGGGACACGGTGGCTTTGGGGACATGGGGGCGCCTTTAGGGGGCACAGTGACTCCAGGGACATGGGGGACCCTGGGCACCCCAGGAACTTGAGGGCACGGTGTGGCTTTGGGGACACGGGTGGCTCTGGGGACACGGGGGTCTCTGGGGACACGGGGGGTTCTGGGGACACGG